CTCCGAGTTTTGCATGATTTGTGCATCAAGAGACGGTATATCTCGTCTGTCAAACGTATACAACTACCGGCTGTCCAAGATTATCATCGGGACGTAAGCTCTTACATGTCACCGAGCTGTCTTTGTTTTTATTTTCCTGATCTTTAGCTACAGTCTTATTCCTTTTAAAAGTACTCTGCCGGAATCTGCAATTCATATGAGGGCATCATTTCTCCCCCCAGGGCAAGGCGAATGGGTTTTCAATTCCAAAGGTACAAGTAGAGGATTTGTGTAAGATGCGGGCTCGGTTTTCCGACCAAATGATGTTCTTAATGCAAACATTTACATAAAGTAATGGTAGCGGGGCCATAAAACACCCAGCCAACTGCCCCCTGAATTTGTTGTAAAGATATTGGTGTCAAGCAGGTGAATCATTAAGGGCTGTTTTATTGTCAAATACATGCTGCTGTGAGAGAAAAAAAAATTTTGTTCAAGAAATACTACATTTGTACTTCCAAATTTTGCAAAGCTTCCCATAATGAGATGAAAATAACAGGCCAGATTCCCATGTTACTGTTTTTTTTAAAAATATTTTTGGATTATTTTGAAATAATTACAAATTGTGATAAATATTCATAAAAGTGAAATAATAAACTCCACATTCATTTCAGTCGGGATTGAAAAAAAAAAACCTGCAGTAACTACACAGATAGCACACCCCTTACTGGATATACCCACAAACCCAGTGTAGAAGTGAAGTTCCTAATGTAACTTTTGTTGCCACAGATAAAGTTAACTGTTACATTCAAAGATGTCTGCAACAGAGTCAGAACCATGTGTATAATGGTGGAGCTAAGTGTAGCAAAAATCCTAGTTTCCCCCATAGTCTTCCATTTCTTCATAAAAACGTATCCATATCGATGGAAATATAGTTGTCAAAATTAATGTTGCTTGTTCTAATATGAAGGAAAAGAGGTCTACATCACCTTAACATTTGAGATGAAGTTCCACTATAACATCAAGTATGGAGTCTTGGATCACTCTCAAGGTTATTTCCAAATGTCCATCCGTGCACCAATCAAATCTTGTTGACTTACTCGTTGTGTGATACAACAACTGACAAACTCTTAAGTTACAAAAATGCTATTCAGTATTCAACGAAACACCAAAGACTACAACTACAAGACTACCAGTACCAGCAACCTACCAGGATTCAGGCCAGGACAAAAACTTAAACCCTTCCCAACACCAGGTCTCGTGTCATCACTGTAACACCAGGGAAAAACACTGATCAGGATTTTGTTGTTGTTTTCTAACTGTAGGTATGGGATGTTGTGTAAAACTGTGCATGGGTGCAGCAAACATCTTTGGATCCACCTGAGGTCAGTGCGAGATGACAGATGTCACTGCTGAACTCTGGAGAAGAGCAAACATTGATCATACTCCAGCCGTGGCCGGCAGCCTCCATCAAATTAAGGGCCTCAAATGGGCAATGACTGATCGCTCCACCAAATGTCCAGATTAAATGAAGGCACTTTTGGGGGATTCCTTCAGTCAGCCATGATCCCCATCAGTGAGGGGTTATTAACTGACACGACTCCGTTTTAGGAGGCAGGTGGAATGGTAGACAAAGTAGTGCTGCCTGAATTATTGGTGGCAAGCGATCTGCATCATCAATCTGCAAGACAATGGCAAGAGGCAGGCTGCAGTTCCAGAAAAAGTTGGTAGGTGGTGCTGAGCAGAATGGCTGTTTCTATGTTGCTTATCTACAACAGTGTGAAGCATGATTAATGTATCTTCTGTGCAGTAACTGCAGCAGTGATGAGTTGATACCCAGCTATTTCAGTCTTTTATCATCTCAAAAGGAAATATGACACATGCAAGGTGGGAGGGTCTCAGCTGTTTACTTCTTTGTGAGGATCAGTTTGATCTCTTGGAATTCTACATGTAAATACAACTGATAAATACTGACCTGCATAATCCTGTAATAAAGGAGTGATGAACAAACAAGAACAGTGTGTTACAATAGAAGAAGATGTATATTTCATTTCATTATGTCGTTTAAGGCTTTGAATACTGCTCTCACCTATATCTATAATCATCTCCATACCTCTATCTCCAAAAGTGTAACATATATAAGACTTTTTTATGTTATACAAGTCGGAGTTGGGACAGTTGAATCTGGACCTCCAGATGTCTCCTGTCAGGAGGAAATGGGTCATCACATACCTCACCCTCCATGTTTGTCCCCTTTACACACAGGTCAATCTGGCATGCAACATAGAAGGTAGGCAGAGAGGCCAGAAAAACAGCATGTCAAGACTTCTGAACTGACCCCTCTGAAACAGAAACTTCCCACAACCCAGAAATGTATCTTCCATTTCCAAACTGTCATTAAACTGTCTGAGAAGCGAGCTGTTATGACTGGAACATTTGAGAAGTATGCCCGGGACAAAATTGTGTCTGGATGCTGGAGAATAAGACTAAATACTATAAACCCGCAGTGTTGGGTAATTATAACCTAAGGGGTAACTTTAGGCACGTGAACTCTGGGTGACCCCGCTGGTGTCAGGCAGTGCAGCCAGGGGCAGGGGAGGGGTCAGGCAACACGGCAGATAACATTTCAGATGCAGTAGATAACATTATGTTCAGATTACCATCACCGCCTTACAACAAACCAGGTGTCCTGGCCTGGCCAGGCCCTGCACCACAAGGCACCAGAGTTTTTCCTGACTTTGTGGCAGCTTCTGTCAACAAGTCGCTGCCTGTAGTTTTGATTACTGACAGTGGGGAGTCCTGGTAACTTCCAAGGGGCCGGGCGCTGATCTGCCTTACAACCAACTACCCTAATCTTGTTAACTTCATCACTCACTGGAACATTTATACATCTACATGTGGTGGCTCTTTACCAAGATGGAGAACTTTTGGCACAGGAAAGGGAGATATCATCTTGCCGGTAAACTTGAAGCATTCTCCTTATCTGCAGAATGCCTAATATTCACACAACACACATTTATATTTCTTTAGGATTAATGAGGGAGTTTAATCAGATGGAATTCCATGCTCAAGAGTTCCCCATGATGATGAATTATGACCCTGCTATCTAAGGAACAGGTCTAGACATGGAAATTTTCCCTCCTCACATCAAACTGCCCATACAGGCAACATCAACAACTGTGCACATTTCTGTTAGATAAGTCAGAAGGAAGTTCTTTTAATCAAGTCGTGATTTAAACAAGCTTATCAAAATCATAACAATTACAGCTTAGGCTATATTACTACATTTCTGTACTCCTGCCCTGACCAGAAGTATATCTTTTAGTAATAGAGATAAGTTGAAATGTCACCAACCCTCCAGGCCATGGACAGATGCAGAAAAGGATTTATGAGAAGTGGTACTGATGGAAGGATCCTCCCATGACCCCTGGGTGAACTCTGCTATGTTAATCCCCCCACCCCCAACATTCCTGCTGCTACTGCTGGGACTGATCATTGTCTTCCTTGGAGTGGGAGCCAGCCTCTTTTTTCAATCTTTTTATGGAAATTTGCCACCCATGACACACAAAAGGTTTGCCCGATCAAAAAATCTGGGTGTAAAGATATGGAAAGAGTTGCCATTAAACTAAACTTTATTCAAATTATTGTCTACCAGAAAAATTTGCCCCTCATGGATAAAATGGCATTTAAGAGGGTCAAGATATCAAAATTTTCACAGGAAAGCATGGCCCCACATACCCCGCCTAGGACTGTCCCAAGTCCAGCACTGGACATGATGTTACATCAAACAAAATTGAGATGACAGAACAAAATTCAGGCTGGCCAGAACACCAGGGGTGGGATCATTTCATGTCTGATGAGCAGACAGCGGATAAAAAGGTTGCACCTTATAATGACGGGTTTGTGTTTTCCTTGGAAACCTCAGCTTCCTGTTTGCAGAGTCGACCTTCTGACATGATCAACTGCAGGCCAAAGTTCAGCCTGTTTGTCCTTGGGACCCTGGCTAGCCTGGCTGTGTACTGTAAGCTGGGGATGAGTAAGGCTGAGGCTTCACAGGTGTTCACTGGGCCAGGGGACACCCTCATTTCCTGAGGGCTAGTCCTCCTGGCTAACCCCCTGGGTAACAGGTAACAGACACTACAAGCCCAGTGGAATGTTACCAGATGATCACAGTGGAAAAAGTTTAGGCTGTTTTGAGAAAAAAAAGTTGTGACAGAAACCATGCTCCAGAAACATGATTGTATATTTTTCAGAACCTGTGAGATGGACATTCTTCTTCTGTGTTGTCAACTCATAACATAAAAACTCATAACTGAGGATGGTGCTCACGTAAACCAGGAAGATGAGTTCATCTTGTTCTAGCCTGGATGCCAGACCAATAGCACATTATTAAAAGACCAATGTTACCTAATGTACACACTGGATAACTTTGGGCCTAGTGTGCTGTATGAACATCTTCTTCTAGCCTGGGTGCCAGACCCACAGCACACTAGGCTCAAAGTTATCCAGTGCACACTGGATTACTCCGAGCCTAGTGTGCTGTGGGTCTGGCACCCAGTAGCAGCCAGGCTCATGCCCGTAGCCAGGATTTTGAATGGGGGGGTTCTTCCCACTGCTAGAGGGGACCTCGAGCGCCGTAGATTCCTAGGGGGGTCCAGGGGATTTGAAAAATTAAAATAATAATAAAAAAATAAATTTTGAAAACTGAACCTTCTAAAATGGCATTTCGTGCATTTTTGAGAGGATTTCCAAGAAAAATTAAAATTTTATTCAATGACAAAGGGAGCAGTTTTTCTACGATTCCAGTCCATCTTTTCAAGAAAAATCTTGGACCTTTACATAAAAAGTGGACCAAAAAGTGGACCTTTTCATAAAAAGTGGACCAAAAAGTGGACCTTTTCATAAAAAGTGGACCAAAAAGTGGACCTTTGAGCCTTGTGGGGGGGTTCTTCTGACTTCCCCTGGCTACGTGCATGTGGCTAATCTTGTTCCAGAGACAAAGGTTTTCCACCAGGTGTGCCTACCTGTTCCAGTAGCTCCAGAACTGGTCCCTCAGATAGGTCCTGTGGCTGAACTCATCTCCAAACGACGCCTTACTCTCCACCCAGTTCACCACATGGCCGTCAACAGCTGGACAGACAGGGATGAAAATCAGCAAAGTTTTAAGATCTGGAGTCTCGTATCTACATTGTATCTAGTACAGTCAACCCTGTCTATGGTGATCACTAAAGGAATAAACAAATTTGACCACTATGGATAGTTGACCACTTCTCTGCTACAGAGATGGTCCATATAATATCTGATCAGTTCCCACTGAGCTACCTTTATTCAAAGATGTCTGCCACATTTTTAAATTCACAGCTCAATGATTATTCTATTACTGTTGTTCTGCGTTTGCATTTATACATGTAGATAATCTGTTCCTCTGCTTGTTCACCTGTAAAGTGCATCACAATAAATGTTATCATAAACTGGAAAATAAATTCTGATCTACATATTATTCAAAATACATATAGCACTCCACTAACAGAAATACCCCAACTCTTCACTTTCTGCAATATCTATAATTGAACAGCTGAATTGTTAGAACAGTTAGATGAAGTTTTCACATGCAATCATGCAAAGAGAAAACTTTTGTTAAAAAAAACTTCTGTCATCCTATTACATTATCACAGGAAGCCAGGGAAGAATGCTTGTTTCCCATTGTACGAATCATGTACATCTCACTTCATTATCAACCTTCAAGATGCCTATTACTAATAACACACATAAAAACTCTATTGCCATCAAGTTTTTCACATGCCGATAATGTCTTGACACTTTTCCAAATCTGCTAATTTCCAAATGTGGAAAGTGGATTTTTTGAGTGATGACATCCACCAATTACTTTAACTTTTAAAGGCATCCCATGCAGTTTTCAGGGCTTGGAAACCAGATTTTTAAGGTCAATATTTTAGTCACTTATCTACATACTAAGTTGAAACAACACTGTCCCAATGTATATCGACATTCATGGAGCAAAACTGCCCCAAATTCTGACGAAAAACGGTTACTAGGAGGACCTGGATTGATTTTTAGGGTACCACCCAGAAAATAAAAGACTGATCTTTGGGCTTGCTTCTGCGGTTTTAAATGCCTAAAGTATGAAATACTGATTCAAATGTGCTAATGTGTGCCAATGTCATACAGATTGCCTTATTCAGAATATTTCCAGTTTTGCCACCCTGAAATTGCATTGGATGAAACAACATTTTTCATTTGAATGATCCTGTAAAAATCTTGTGAATACAACATTATTCCAGCTGCTGTAAGAAGTTGAGCTGTTGATGACAAAAGCTGTGGAAGATAAACATAATGAAGTCAGCACGTATGTCATCGCAATCCTACAGCTTCCATACGAACATAAGGACAGTGGAGATGGAAGCGTTGAAAGGTTTTGTTGGCGAGGCAGGAAATCACAAGTTCATACACAGTTCATCACTTGACCTTGATCCCAGAAGTCTTCCCAGCTGGCCCCCTGGCAGGCTGGTCATATTTACCCGCCTCAGAGAACTGTGGCAGCTATTTTGATAATCAGCAACACTGGCTGTGTGGAGTGATGTCAAACAGCATTCTGGCAGCAGTGTTCTTTTGACGCCACCTTTTAACTCTTGTCATACCTCGCACTTTTCTGATGAAAGAAAAAGTTGAACTTTCAAAAGGGTCTCTTTGAAGTACAAATAGTCTTGCTAAAAGGAAAATACTTATGAATCAACTTTTCACATGTCATTAAAAGTAGTAGTAAAAGAAATGTTGACACATATATGAGTTGGGGGACAGAAATTGTGCAATTTACTATTTTCCAAAGGGCAACCAAAGCAAGGCTCAAATTTAGTTCAAACAGTAAACATCCAATCACAAAGTTTATCCTTTTATCTGAATTATGCAGCGCAATCAAACCAGGGATTTCAAGGATCAATTTGAATTTCCTTTGTTTATCATTAAGACTTTAAAACTTGCAAAGCTGTTTTAGAAAGACTCATCCTGGATCAGGTCAAGAATAAAACAAAACTTGCTCCACTTTTTTTTCATATTGTACCTATATCACGGGTAGAAGCCCCATCAGTGAACAACTTCCAAAAGAGCAAAAATTGTCAAAATGTCATCTTAATTTCAGTGCCAAACATCTCAAACAAGGAACCGGCAAGAGAGATGATCAAACCGTATTACTGAATGCACTTCATTTCTTTCGAACTCAGGTGAGGATGAAGTTCAAGGTAACGGATGAGTTTCAATGTCTGCGTTTGTCTCCACAGTAGGATGATAGTTAAATGTCTGCGTTTGTCTCCACAGTAGGATGATAGTCCTGACAGTGTTCCCACAGTGCAGACCCACATGCCAGGCAGATTGGCAGACAGGAGGTAACAATAACACTGTCTAATCCACAACAGCTCACATCTAATCCCTTCCGCTTGGTGTGGAGCCCCTGCCTGCTGAAGTCCTCACCTGATAGCCGCAAATGAGATAACTGATGACGACCCCCTGACCCCTCTCCATCCCTCATCCACCCGATAGCCACCCTCTGCTACCCATGGCCTTTTTTCCCAG